ATCTCTGATTCAAATATTCCGTGCTCATTTGTGGCAAAAGATACATGAGAGTGTTGTCATGGATCTATGTCAAGTTTTGGATCAAGAGTTAGATGCCTTGGAAATTGAGACTGTTCAGAAAGAGACTATCCATCCAAGGAAGAGTTACAAGATGAATAGTTCTTGTGCCGATGTTCTACTCTTTGCTGCCCATAGATGGCCTATGTCAAAGCCAAGTTTAGTAGCAGAGTCAAAGGATGTATTTGATCAGAAAGCAAGCAACAAGTATTGGATAGATGTGCAACTACGTTGGGGAGACTATGACTCACATGACATAGAGCGTTATACTCGTGCTAAATTTATGGATTATACAACTGACAATATGTCAATCTATCCATCTCCTACTGGTATTTCCTTTTTAATATCATTGTCATACTTGCTTTTATTTTTTCTGGTTCTGGGATGACTATTGTTTACTTGGTTGTTCTAAATTTATTTGTTTCATTTTGTTTTTTGCAGGTGTCATGATTGGGATTGATCTGGCTTACAACTTGCACTCTGCCTTTGGTAATTGGTTTCCTGGATCCAAACCACTTCTTGCTCAAGCAATGAATAAAATCATGAAGGTAACTTGATTTCCAGTATTATTTGTTCGATGGTTTAATTAGTCGATTATGAGAAAAGTGAGATATAACAAGAATGCCAAGGCCAAACTAATGGTGTGGACTGCGTAGATTCTGAAGTACCTCCATTACCATGTATTTTGTGCTGACAGACCCCTGCTGGTCCACATTTAGCTGAATAAAGAGAGGAACAATTCTCATCTCTCATCATCTTCCTCCTTCCTGTGTTTTTCTTTGTATGTGGTTACGTTTCTCTCTCTCTCTCTCTCTCTTCAGGGGTGAGGATGGGGTGTATGTATTAGAAGTACAGATTAAGTTGTACCTACAACCAGGATGGGTTTGCTAGACTAGTTTGTTAGGAAGATCTAGATAACCTGTAGATGGTCATGTTTGCTCAATTGCTCTCTCGTTTGCAAGTTTCAGCCATGATAGCTCCTCATCTCATTGATAAGAAACACCTCCTTTTCGAGGCATTTTTGTTTATTTTAGAAATTTAATCAAGGTAACTGGGTTGAACAGGATTCATATAGTGGACCCAATATAGTTAGGACCAGGCTTAGTTGAGTTGAATTAAGGCTGCTGGGTTTGTTGACTAGGACACATTAGGGGCATACAGCTAACATCAACAGGGGTGGAGCACATTGAACACAGTAAGTAGAGACTATCACCTATCTGATGGTATCAGATGCAAACTCTGGGTTGGCCAGTCATCCTTGTACAATTTTTTCCTTTCATTTTCTCAATAGAAAACCTCTCTTATCAGTTGAAGAAGAAATTATTTAGAATAAGCAGGGTGGGATGCCAGTTACTTTAGACTTACCGTACAAGCTTAACATTATTATGTTATTTTTTTTTACCTCTTGTTTGTAGAGATAGGATACATGTACCCTATAAGATATTCTTTATATAATTAAGTAATCATTATATTGTAGTGAAAAAAAATTGGTGGTAGTAGTGAATAGTGGTCAAAATTTGATCATTGTATGAATATATTCAAACAATTATCTATTTATTTGCTGAATGTTGACATGTCTTGTGAATCATAATAATCGTCAAATGTGCATTTGCAGTCAAATCCAGCTTTGTATGTTCTGAGGGAGCGAATAAGGAAAGGTTTGCAGTTGTATTCTTCTGAGCCTACAGAACCATATCTGTCATCTCAAAACTATGGGGAGATATTCAGCAACCAAATTATATGGTTTGTTGATGACACAAATGTTTATCGTGTTACAATTCATAAGACATTTGAAGGAAATCTCACAACAAAACCTATCAATGGTGCCATCTTTATATTCAATCCAAGAACGGGGCAACTATTTCTGAAGGTACTCCCATTCCCTCTTAACTGTTTATTTTTCCACAAAATATTTATAAGAAAAAAAACTGTTTATTTTTCCACAAAAGCTTATTTTAGAACATCTGTTCTTTATTAGATTTGCTTTTACCATATATTTGACATGGATTTCTACAGGTTATACACACAAGCGTGTGGGCTGGACAAAAGCGTCTTGGTCAGCTAGCAAAGTGGAAAACTGCAGAAGAAGTAGCTGCTCTGGTTCGGTCCTTGCCAGTTGAAGAGCAGCCAAAACAAATCATTGTGACTCGTAAAGGAATGCTGGATCCATTGGAGGTTCACTTGCTAGATTTCCCAAACATAGTTATCAAGGGAAGTGAACTACAGTTGCCATTCCAAGCATGCTTAAAGATTGAGAAGTTTGGTGATTTGATTCTGAAGGCCACAGAGCCGCAAATGGTTTTGTTCAACATTTATGATGATTGGCTTAAAAGCATCTCATCGTATACCGCATTCTCTCGTCTCATCTTAATTCTGCGTGCACTACATGTAAACAATGAGAAGGCAAAAATGTTACTGAAGCCCGACAAATCTATTATCACTGAACCACACCATATCTGGCCTTCTCTCACAGATGATCAATGGATGAAGGTAACTTCAAAATATTTGAGAGACCTAATCAAATTTGTACCTGCCTGTATCCTAGTATTGTAAAAATGTGCCTCTGTTCATGCTTACTTATTTGTTGCTAAGATCTTCTTTCATGCAGGTTGAGGTTGCATTGAGAGATCTTATACTATCAGATTATGCCAAGAAGAATAATGTGAATACTTCAGCTCTTACCCAGTCTGAAATTCGTGACATAATACTAGGAGCTGAGATTACTCCACCTTCACAACAGAGGCAACAGATAGCAGAGATTGAGAAGCAGGTAATATTTAGCTCCTATGCTTGAATAGAATTGTCTATGCTCGTCACTTTGCTGATTTGTTGCTGCTGGAATTTCATTTGCAGGCAAAAGAAGCAAGCCAGCTTACAGCTGTCACAACAAGGACAACAAATGTGCATGGTGATGAACTTATTGTCACCACCACAAGTCCATATGAGCAGCAGGCTTTTGGGTCCAAAACTGATTGGCGTGTGAGAGCAATCTCAGCCACAAATCTTTATCTCCGAGTCAATCATATTTATGTGAATTCGGAGGACATCAAGGTATTTTATTTACTGGTTTTATTGTTCCTCTTTAGCTTGAACATGGAGAGCTTACTGGCCTTGGATGAAACTTTATGATAACAGGAAACGGGATACACATACATCATGCCAAAAAATATCTTGAAGAAGTTTATCTGTATAGCAGATCTGCGTACTCAAATTGCAGGGTACCTATATGGTATAAGTCCACCAGACAATCCTCAGGTTAAAGAAATCCGCTGTATTGCCATGCCACCACAGTGGGGGACTCATCAGCAGGTCCATCTTCCATCTTCTCTTCCTGAGCATGATTTCTTAAATGATCTGGAGCCATTGGGATGGATGCATACACAACCAAACGAGCTTCCACAGTTGTCCCCTCAGGTATTTGTTTTTAACCAAGCATGCTTTCTTACCTGGCTGTGCAGACTGCAGGCTGTAGTGGTTCCAGTCCTGTATTACATAATCAGGCCTTGATTGAGTCTCCATTCTACTTTTACAGGATCTCACAACTCATGCTCGGATTCTGGAGAACAGTAAACAGTGGGATGGAGAGAAGTGCATCATTCTCACTTGCAGTTTCACCCCAGGCTCTTGCTCATTAACTGCATACAAGCTTACACCAACAGGTTATGAATGGGGGCGGGTCAACAAGGATACTGGAAGCAATCCGCATGGTTATCTTCCAACTCACTATGAGAAGGTCCAGATGCTTCTTAGTGATCGTTTCCTTGGATTCTACATGGTAAGTCTGGAACTATGCTTTACAATAATCAATAGTAAATATTTGTCCCGTTCGAAATCTTCACAAATTAAAACTAAAAAGAACGTCTGCTTATTTTTCTGCAATTGTGTAAATCATGCTTTTGGTGGTGTTCTTTATTTCCCCCCTTTTTACTCTGCCTTTTTGAGGGGAGCTAAAACTGATTTGATCATATGGTGGCTCTCTCTCAGATTCCTGATAATGGCCCGTGGAATTACAACTTCATGGGGGTGAAGCACACAGTGAGCATGAAGTATGGTGTTAAGCTTGGGACACCTAGGGAATATTACCATGAAGATCACAGGCCTACACATTTTCTGGAGTTCAGTAACTTAGAGGAGGGCGAGACAGCCGAAGGAGATCGGGAAGATACATTCAGTTAGGACTAGATTAGTGAGTAGAAAACTAGAGATGATGGTGATGTAAATAACCTCTATCGGAAATCGGAATGAAGTGGCACGGTGTTTTTGTTTGTTAACAACCTTTTTTTTTTTGTATTCTTTGACTGTATATATTATTATATTCTAAAAGCCATCTTTATATGATTCAAATTTACTAGTTTTGATCGCGATGCTCTCTTTGCCGTTTCTAGTGAACCTCATCCCAGTTAATGAGTTGCTTTTTTGCTTGAAGGCCTCTAATTCATCCCAGTAACAGCAAAAGGCCATTACTGTGGAAGAGGCCCTTAGCATTCAATCACCATTCACGTAATATCTTTCCGGGGGGGGGGGGGGTATAGGAATGATGTTCAAATGGTGATTTCTATCGAGTCTGGAGCTACTGTCCCCATTGCTACCAAAAAGCACTAGGAGAAAAAACACGATGCAGTTTACTAAACCAGTAGTCACCAACTCACCAGCCACTGATATGGAAAATATGGAATGTGTGTGAAGTTGTAAACGAGGGACGCGAACAAGTATTTGTAAATTGTGATACGTCAGTTTGTCAAATCAACGCATTTATACTGGGCAGGGACACTCTTTTGGCCACGCTTGCCAAGGGCTTGTCGGACCTCCTGGTCCTCCGCTTCATCATTACCTCTTTTTCCCTCTGGCCTAGTTCATCTGTTAGGTAAACTGGAATACTGTAGAGTAGTGCCCCAGTGGAAAATAATTGGGTGATTGGTTGAGATTGTAATGCTTTCAGGGCATCAGCACTTGGCAATCAATAATCTTCTTGATCCATTAAATATATAGCAAAACCCACTTCAAATTTTCAATCCCCCCTTCCAAATTTCCAATTACATAAAAAGTTGCAAAATAATTGACTATAAACACTATGACCACCTTAGATGAATGGTGGCTTGAGCAACCTTTGCTGCTCCAAGTCGGACAAAATCTGAAAACCACCCAAGAAACCAAAATACAACAACAGTCTCACAGCCACTACTAGGCAACAAAATAGAAAACAAATTACAAGCAAACTTGAAATTCATCCCAAAAGGCAAAAACCAACCTTCCAAGTTTCTAATGGTTAGGCAGCTCTAAGACTGGCACTTTAAGAAAAGCAACCACTACTACCTCTACCTCCCCCTAGTAAAAGATGTTTCTGTATATACCAGTTCACGCTTAACTTAACGATCCCTTCTGTTTTTTTATATCTATATTTCTGAAATCTGGGAGTAAGAGATTCAGCTGCCCTGCACCTGATAACTCCCAGAGCCTGCAACTTCTTTCACTTCCTTGGCATCTTTCTCCTCTGAGATAAAATCTATGCTTCCCTCTGCAGTTGATAATTCCTCTTGATGACTTCCAGAGTTTGTTGACTTGAACATTTCATCATTCTCTAAATCAGCCAACTTTTCTTTTGATTCTCCTTTTAGCAGGTCCACTATCTCAAGCATGGTGGGTCTCTTTTCAGGTTTGTTCTGACAACAGATGAGTGCAATAAGAATAACCCTCTTTAGCTCTTCTTCCACGTACTTCCCATTCAGCTTGGGATCTGCAACTTCACTAAATTTTTTCTCACAAACCAATGGCAGTGCCCAATCAGTGATTATCTGCATTGTTGTTGCACTGGGTTTCTCTATGGGTTTCTTGCCACTAGCTAGCTCTAGCAAGAGTATGCCAAAGCTATAGACATCACAGCTTTCTGATGCCTTCTCAAGCGTGGCATATTCAGGGGCAAGGTAGCCAAGGGTGCCCTTTACCTTGGTGGTGACATGAGTTATTCCATCARGTATGAGCTTCGCAAGACCAAAATCAGCAACTTGGGCCTCAAAATCTGAATCTAGCAACACATTGCTAGCTTTGATGTCACTATGGATTATATGTGGTGTTGCATGATGATGAAGGTAGCTGAATACAGTAAAAGATAAGGTTATGGGATGAGAGGAAAGAAAGTACAAAAAGAAACTAAGGAAAACATTTCAACTTACACAATTCCCTCTGCAGATCCTATTGCAATTTTCATCCTTCGTTCCCAATCAAGCAGGCATTCTGCTGAGTGATGTCCATGAAGATGGGAGAATAAACTCAAGTTAGGCATGTAATCATAAACTATAAGACGTTCTTGTCCTTCAGCACAGTAACCACGTAAACTTAGCAGATTTTTGTGCCTGACTCTGCCCAGTATCTCCACCTCRACGGAAAATTCCATATCAGCTTTCTCACTCCACACCTTCAACCTTTTAACAGCAATCTGCAACAATTATCACTTCAGCAAAAGGCACATTTAGATTACACAGCTTAGTGAAGACTGAGGAGTCCTAGTTGAGACAACAATAGCTACATTAAACCCATTGGATCAATGGCTCAAAAGTCAAAATGCATATCATATATTGATGCTGCGCAATCTGGCTGCTCCTAGCTTTTTGAAGCACTTCCCACAGACGGCGCCAATTGGCGCTACGCGCATTTTACTGCTTACTAGCTCTCTTGCTCTCTAATTATTCTCAGCTCGCACATACTGACTTAAGCATTGGAGCGACCTCGCCGGGTAAGCACCCCCGGGTTCTCTGATTCTTTCTGTGCAGATTCTCCACGTCCGTCGTCTACTGGAAGCTAAGCCACCACCAGTTAGGAGCAGCCAGATTGCGCAGCATCAGATATCACTTGTAATAACAATGATAACTCGTGATTCCCTTCTTGAAGGGTATGCTTAAGCTTGTGAGCAGCTTTAGTTGAGCTCCTTCCCATTGGTATATGGGTGGAAACAAAAATCCATTAATGCAGGTCATGAAATCCAGAAGGAACTCATGCAAGGGATAAATAGGTGATTTTGGAATACTTCTGGGAAGTGGGACCTATAGGTCCAGCTGTACCCTGATATACCATGCAGCTAATGCTACTCACCTGGAATATCATTTGGTTTGGACTTTGGAGATATTTCAAAATCTTCTAAATTATATTTAACMAGGAATAGTTCCATGATTTTGTTTAACTTTAATAGTACATAATGTTTTTTTTAATATTTTGACAGTTGTTTTCATTTACTTGTCATAGCAARTTGCTTAGCACTGAATTAAGTTTATATATATATATATATACAAACGGGTTTAGGTCACTCACATTCTTCAATGAGGTCACTSATGAAAAAAAATATTCAATGATATAGCCACTAGCTAGCTGGAAGCCCAGAAAGGCTAAACCTGTTCCTCATGTTACTCAATTTGTCCTCTCTTTATGTGGCAAATCTTGTAATACACTGAGGAGTCAAATGTATGATGATCCATACAATGATGTGAACATGAAATTAACACACATATCCAAATATCACTCAATTCCCCCCCAAATTCTTTCTRTTCCAATGGCTAAAAAGAACTCAATTAACAGAGAGATCCAGATGACTCAGCTAAAGGAGGAATGCATGCAAAAGCAGACAAWTTCCTTTAATATTGTAAATTGGTATTAAATAGATAGCTCCTATACAATCTTGTAAATTGTAGTACATGTCTGGTGGGTTTGCCATTTTAGACATCATGTCAGCAATTGACACTGGAACTACTTGCATACAAGTGTGGAAGCAAGAACAATACTCCATATTTCTTCTGGAAATTCATTAAACTTCAATTGATAATGAATGCTGCCCACATTTTATTGACGAATATAACAATTACATCGTACAACAAAGACCAAATAGAATCAGAAGGCTCTTTGAAGAAAATGACATATCATCCTTGAAAAAGGTAAATAGTGGAGATTGCTTATGGATTTTGTGAACTTCTTTTTCACAGCAATTCAAAGCGAGTCTTTGACTTCCTTTCCAACAAAAGAAAGAAAGAGATATAGTTTCCTAAATTCACAATTCAGGTTCTTCATTTGGCAATTGTACGCTGGTTTCATGTGGTTCATTTAACCAAACCAGCTGCATCCCAACTATATGGGTCCTCATAGGCAACATGAATCCTGTTCGGGCATTCTGTTCTATTCAGTACCATATCCATTCTTAAACTATGGGGTGGGCTCTTAAATCATTTCTTACTACTTTAATATATATCCTAAAGAAGAAAAGTTAAGGATTTGAATTATGAAAAAATGATTCATATCTTAGAGAAAGTGAAAAAGACGAAAGAGAAGATGGATCATTGAATTGGGAGTCTTATGGAAAAAGACGAAAGAACAATACTCCATATTTCTCCCAAGTTCAGTAAATCATCTATACCATAGAACATTATGTCCTCAATATTCTCCTAAAGCCAATTAGCACATGGATCATTGAATTGGGAGTCAATTCAAATGAATCATAAGGGTTCATTTTCCAGTTATATTTGACTTGAGCTATAAAACACTGAATAATTATGGATATTCAATAGGAGCACTGAGCTCAAAGATCAGTGCCAGGGGGATCCTCCATCTTGGAATAGGTTTCATGTGAGCTCTTTTGTAAGTCTATATGGTGTAGCATGTGTGCTTGTACCTATATAGTTTCTATGTTGCAAGGCTATATTTGATGTTGCCCCTAGACATTCTAAGGGGAACTTTTGATTTTACTACAGCTTTCCCCCTTTTTGTTCTTATTAGTGAATTCATTACACACACACATAGGAGATTTCCTCTGAATTGTCAGAAATACATTTTCAGTCACTTTTAAATCTGGATATTCCTATCATAGAACCCAGTTAAGAAATATAAAACTAAACAAACACTTATATACATTTTGTCATAATTTGACCAAATGCAATTTAATTATCAATCCTTCAGTAATAAGAGATGATTTTGTTTAATCATTCAATTTCCGCTAGACATATAGTAATTAAAGTATGGCTTCAATTGGTTAAATGTGTAACGAAGGAAAAATGAATGATTTCCCAAAACATGATACTTTCTGGTATGTGTTTGCATGTAAAATGGCCATGGAAAAAAATGATCCCCAAAAAGTGAGTAGTAGTTGGGAAGAAAACGATATTCCTTCCAAATTTGTATCTTTTTTTTTTTGAAAATTAGAAAAATAGATTTCGGAATCTTGTTAGTTTGTGACATCCATATATTTCTCAACCATTTAGGTTCGTTTTCCAAGTGGCAAACACCTGGAAAATTAGGAAAATAATTTGCTTTCATTTTGAATATAATTTTACAATGAAATCGTTTGCTTTCCTTTATTCTATACGAAATCAAACGTAACCTATGCAAATAAAATCGACAGAAAAATCCTTACTTGAGAACCATCCCATAGCTGTCCCCAATAAACGCTACCAAATCCCCCTTCTCCGAGCTTGTTATCATAATTAAAATTGTTCGTAGCAGCATGCAATTCCTTCAAGGAGAAAACCCTCCAGGTGGGCCGTTTCTTCGACTGTTCTTTCCTGCATCACGCAACCATACATAAACATAACAAACTAGGTATGTTCTCTAACTTACAAACATCGCTGACTCCGCAAACCAAGACAAAGAACCCCGATTTATCATTTTTTTTTCTTCAAAAAAGAATGATTTTGCATCGAACGATCAGAAATCCATGAATCACAGGCAATCAGTTAAACACCAAGCGCAAGTTAGCAAAAAGCACCCTTATTCAATCATTTATGCTTCTTTAGATTAGATGACTAAGACATGGAGGAAGTACCAGATGAACAAAGCTCGAAGACATCAATCATTCATGTCGAACCAGAAAATAAAAATTAAAAAAAATCATGAAAAAAGAAAACAAAAAGCAGATCAAGAAGTCAACAACTTTATGTTGCGATAAACGTACCGATCCCAAGTCTTTCCGCAGCAAAACCTGGTGCAAAAAGCCATGTCCTTACTGCGCAAAACACAGAGTAAGAGCTGAGTTTTACAGGTCTGAAGCTAAGCAGAAGAAGATTCTTCACTCTTCAGTCAAGAATCGTAACGCTTAATCCGGCGCAAACATTCGGGGTTTTGGAAGAATGGGGAGAAGACATTGAAACAGTAGCAGCCAGAGACAGCTCAGTAGTCGTGAAATGGAATGAAGCGTGAGGAACAAATCAACACACCAACCAACCCTCTGTGTTGTGTTGTGTCGCCTTTTTCAATTTGAAAAGGGGGGAAAGTGCTGTTTGGGAGGTGGAGGTGGAGGTGGGGGACCATTTTGTGAAATAATCATTTTATATTTTCATAAATATGGATATTAGTAGGGATGGATTTTATAATAATTTATGTCGTTTCGGATAAAGTGGAATATTTTTGTAAGAAAATAAAAATAAAAAAGAATTCCGTTGATGGTATTAGTGGTAGTTCAACGGTAGTTTTCACTTTTCATTAATTAAGCGTGTCAATTTCAAATTTTGATTGACGCAGGTTGGGGTTTTTATAGACTAGTTGATACTTGATAGGCAGCGCCTCCGTGGGGGCCCACAATCATTAATTAGTGTGGGGCATTATCATTGTCCCACAGCCTCCTGATACATGGCGAATCAGCTACGTGCATGTGAGACCCGGTTGTAGAGGCTAGGGGTGTTAACTGGACCGGATTTGGTCTAATTTGATCTGGTCCAATATGAATCCATTACAGATGGACCAGGTCTAATCCAATCCCATGAATACTCTAGATCATTTTGGACCAGTCCAATTCTACGTCTGGACTGTCCAATCTGTTCAAATTAGTTTTAACTTAATTGGTTAATACAAACATGATCCATTGACACATGTATTCTTATTTTTTATTAATGGACCAGAATCATCAGATATTGGTTCAATACAATCCAATCCAATCCAATGTAAATCTATTATGGATGGACCAGGTTGATCCGATCCAATAAATATTTTGGATTATTAAGTCGGGACAGGTCCAATTTAATATGTCTTATTGGTCTGTCCAATCTATCCAAATTGATCTTGATTTGAGTGGAGTTCAATCCAAAATCAGCCCATTGACACCCCTACCTCTTTGGACTATTGCACTTCACAGTATGTCTTTTCGTACTTGTGTTTATCATTAATGAAGAGATATTCCCAATACAAGGTGAGATGTGGCTGTGAGGTTAGTGTGAGTCACGGCCTGTGAGGAGCAAATCTCAATTCAGTTCAGATAAGCTAGTTTAGTTGAGCGCACCCGGATAAATCTATCAAAAAATAAGATACTCAGGTTACGGTCACAATTCTGTTCCATATTAGCTTTAATCATAGCTTCAAAGGTTTAACCCAGCTTTGAATTAAAGAAGTTATGACCTGAAAGCCCTCCTAAACGGGCTTTAGAAATAGCTTCACCCAAAAGTTGATTTATCAGCGCATGTAAGCGTACTTTTTGGGGTTAGACTGTGAAATAAAAAAAAGATATAATATCTGAAAAACTTCTGACCAATGACGTAAAAGCATAAATATAGTAACCAATCAATTATTATTTATCAAAATTTAATAAGTGAAAACTCTTCGGTACCTCGTATCATAGATTTTCCCTTTTCGTTAAACATGACTTTATGACCTTCTGTGTAACGCGGGAAGCTTTTGTGTGAAAGCCCTACTAAAGGGATATATAAACAGTTTACTATTTATTTATCAAAGTACGTAACCGGGTCTAGTCGGATGAGACCCGAATATCCTGACTAAATAGTTGATTTAGTTTTGGGTATTTTATAAAACCGATCAATAATTGATTTAGGATTGGTCCACTCATGACGAACCAGACCCGACCCATGACAGCTGTCTCGCTGGGAATTGGTGTCCACCTAGGGAAAAACCCGGGTTGTCCCATATTAACAAAACCTAGTGGTATCAAGGAATAATAGGGTTAGACCGGCCCGAATCACAAGGTGATGTGAGGTATGACCAGTATATATGATTGGATTATCAACTGTAACATATGGAGGTTCGTCATCTTTCTCCTAAATGGATAGGAAAGGAGGAAGAAGACAAAAAGAACAGAGAGAGAAAAAAAAAAAAGATGTTGATTGTTTTGTCGTTGAGGCATGTTTGGGTACTGACGGTTACAACCGAACAAAAGGAGCACAGTTGGTACTGTACTGCGACTCCCTCCATACATTGGAAACATCTCCCGTGCAGGAGGATGAGAAATTTTGTGGCTCTGATGTTATGTGAGTAAATGTCGACAGAGTTTGTGTGGTCCGGAATCTACTGTGTGTGGAGACTGTGGGGTGGTTGAAATGGAACCTGAGAATTGAGAAACACCCAAAAAGAGCAGACGCAAGTGGTCCTCAAAAACTCACGATTCACACAGTCTACAAGATTAAATATGCTTGCTTGCTCTCGTATACTGTGTCTCTTTGTGGTAGGTTCCCGGAAGACAGGTTGGAAAGCCATAATATCATCATCACCCATGCTTTATCCCAATTATATGCTTCCCTAATTCTATTTCATTAATTCATTATATCTAAAACCATATCTATTATTAAATTCTTAATGTTTAAATAAGTTCTTATTAATTCTACCAATGTTCTCCTTTTGTATATATTGAGTTCTTTTAGTCCCTTTTTAACCGATGTAATTGATAGTCAGTTATGTACTTGTTTGAACTATCTTAGTCTATTGTTTTTTTCATTTTATCACCTATCGGAGTTATTCATAGTTTGTTGTAGATAATTTCATTCCTAGTCTGTTCTTTCTAACATTCTGTCACATTTATTTTCTGGTCTTTTTTATTTATTGCCCAACACTCTATTCCATATAATTTTCCTTTTAATCTAACCAATATTCACCTATCACATAAACATCCAGATGCACTGACATCCTTTGATGTTTTCAATTCACAGCTGCAATGTGTATGAGGTTGGTGTGAGGAGTGTTTTGTGAGGATCATATCAAATCTTCATAATGGGGGGCAGCTCATCCCCATACCCCCCATTACCCACCCCAACCTTGGTGGCCACAAGAGTCCATCCCAAGTCTCTACTAGAATGAGCAAGCTGCGAATCACCACTTGTGTCCCGTTCGCTTTTTTGTAAGTTACTTACTTAGGTAAATGCATTGGGTAAGTTTCTCTTGGGAAACACTTACCCGAGTAAGTGTATTTACGAATGTTCTTTTATTTCTCAAGTAAAAAAGGCAATGACCATTTTAGCTATAAAATGTATTATTGAAAGGGGCATTTTTGTCCCATTCAAGTGTTGGCAACTTTCCCCTCAGGTGGGAAAGTTATTTACCCACCTAGGAGACGGGTATTGATGGAGCACGATCTAAAAGCTCCTAGCTAGAAGGTTACCTGGATGCTGGTTGTTTAGCGAGTTGGTTCAAATTACAAGAAAGCGGATCTTTGAGCCCAGGATGGCTAACCCAATGAAGTCGCTTCAATGCTTAAGTTAGTACTGTATTCTGATAGCAAGCTAAAAGCTTGAATGCAAGTAACTAGTGAGCAAGTAATCGCGTGTACCTTGTGCTATGGGGGTTAATGTCCTTTTATAGTTGAGCTGCCGTGACTCTTACAAAACACTCCCGAGATCTTCGGCCAAAATCCTAGGAGTCTGTTCCACTCCAAAATGTGGATAACGAGGTAGCCGATAAGGCTTATTGTGTCCATCTGATTTGGGCGGGATGACAACGTGATCCCAAAGTGTTCGGGGATGACTGGCGGGCTTTTAGATGTGCACCACACATCACTTTGGCGAGCCGAATCATCCCGAGATGCCCGGGCTCCAGGGGTGGCCGAGGTACTTGGAGTGATCCGACCTGCCAAGGTGGCTGGGAATGCCAAGTCATGCATCCTAGTCACTAGGTTGAGTCCACGTGTTTGCTGCTTACTAGGTCGGGCCAAATTACCCCTCATCAGATATCACTTATCCCAAGAAAATAAACTTTCCCTAATCTCCACATTAATATGAAAAAAAGTATGAGATTCTTAGTCAATAAGAATCAAAATCCCATCGACCAACTTCTCCCTCTCAAAATCCAAAATAAGAATGCTCCCTTAGTGTCAACTGTCAATCGGGGCACTTGATTCTATGTTTAACTATCAAACGGGAGCAGTCCTACATTCTGTAATTAATTACTCGATTTAATGAACTCTTAAATTAAATGCATTCCGCTTTAATTGGGTGCAACTTGGCGGATTGGGTCAAGTTAAAAGTCAATTCAGGTTCAACCAAAAGATATAAAACTTGGGTTCAGGCTGGCCCAATCTGATTTTAAATCCAAGTTTTAGTCCAAGGCCAATTCAGGCTTAATCCAATAGAATTTGGGTTGGGATTGGGTCAAGTCTTGGTAAGTGGTTGGATTTGAAAGAATTCATGAATATATTTTATACATCCATCTTCATCTTTTATAGGGTTTTATGACTCAATTTAGGAGTAGAATGGATTGAATATATGTATTAATTTCATTGATAAAAGTACACATATACAACCATGATTGTGTGTATGCATATTAGATTTTTTATTTTTTATTTATTTTTTATATAAATGAAATGTATATATGTATCATGTATGTATTTGCTCGGATAGGTTCGGGCTGGACAAAGCTCAAGTTGGACTTAGGCTATTTGATGCCTTAGCCAAGCCCAACCCACGTTCAAGTGAGCCCTGAGTTTTTTTTGGCCCAATTCCAGTGTAAAGCCCCAAAACTCAGGCCCAACCCTTGGAAAAGCTCGGCTTGGATAAGATGGGGTGGGCCCACCCAATGATCTCTCATAATTTGTATGCAATAGAATGCAATTTGTGAAGTTTCACCTATATGAAAGGTTTGAAGATATTGTGTTTAGAATGTTATTTGATTCATTCAACAGAATAGAATAAAAAAAAAAAATGGTTTTTCATTAAGTTGTAAGTAAATTGGTTTTCAATATATAATAGAGTATGGATCAATAACCATGACTAGCAAAGGATGAGACATCATTAATTTGGTGTGAAATTGTCTCTACTTGTACCCAGATACTGAAGAGTCTCTTTATGCAATCATAAATTTAAATGAAATAACTATTTACCATCTAATTGTTTCAACAGAACTAATGTAAATAGTATCCATTGATCATCTATTACTAAATAGCACATCCTCTTACACTAATACCAATAAAATCCAATTAGTCTTTATATGCATACCACATGGGTGTCAACAAAGTACAGCTCTAAAATATCACAAATGAGCACATACATTTCATGGTAATCTAACTATGGTAACACTTAGTTTAATATGCTCTTAATTCTCATACTCCAATCAATAAATCAGTGAAATTTCTTGGCAACTTTCTGTTTCTTTCTTATTTTCTGACAAACCAAACAGATTGTCAAATGCGATCAACAAAGTAAAACTCACAAGAAGTTGGACACTTGTGATCGTGGGTCGGCTGGAGAGGCCCAAATTAATTGGACCAGGCTGGGCTTTTGGATACAAGGTCCCATGGGCCACGTCTAATGTGTTCAGTCCGCTTAAGGGTGCCTTGGATTGGATTTGGTCCAATCTGATCCAAACCCAATCGATTGACACCTATATTCTTATCTTCTATCAATGAACCGGATATTGGCTTAATCCAACCTAATCCATATAAATTTATTATGAATGGATCAGACCCAATTCAATCCAATAAATACTTTAGACCATTAAATTTGGACTGATCCAATTCAATATGTCTTGTTAGTCTGTCTAATCCGTCCAAATTGATTTTGATTTGGACAGAGACCAATCCAAACTGATCATTAACCACCCCTAAGTCCGCTGCAAAGATATTTATTTATTTTCTTTTGTAAGAAAGAAAACTACAAAGGCAAAGCCTCAGCAAAAGGAACAAACCAAGAAATCATCCAAATTGGTTTTTTACATTGCCGACATGTCTCCCACTGATGGTGTATAACAGCTAGTGCTTGTAGTTTTTTTTTTTTTTCAATCAAGTGTTTGTAATTTTCTAGCTTTATGTGGAGAGTGGGAAAGATTTATCATGAATTATTTGTGATGATGTACAAAATCAATAGAACTTTAGTTGTGTCATGCTTCAGATTGCGATATACTTTAGACTGGATCGAATTTGCAACGGAATTAAATGGATTATTTTAAAATGCAAAATGATTAGGGCTGTAAATGAATCAGGATTTAGTAAAGGCCTAAAAGAGTATATCCAATCTGATCCGATAAGAAATTTAATTGATCCAAATCCGATAAAAATTCGTCAGGTTTTCAAAGAGTATAATTCTAATTTGAATTCAAATATTTTATTGGATATTTGATTTTCTGATTCGATTAGAATTATAATAAAAAAAATTTGATGATGGTATAATATAAATAATATATTATATTATTTATTATATATATATATATATATATATTTCATAACTACTGGATCGGATTGTAGTGGATCAGATCGGGGTATATCCAAACTTGATCCGTTAACTAAATGAATTGAGTTTTTAATCCGATCCGATTTATTAAGATGAAGGGAGGTATCCGAATCCGATTCTTATTGAATCTAATTCGGATTCGAATAGAATATACAAATTTGCAGCCCTAAAAATAAAAATGAAGAGTGAACACGCAATAAGAAAATTCATGTTGTCGCCCACATGCGGTTGGGACTTGGGATGGGAACGAAGAAGATGAAGCTCCTGTTTGGGAGTGGCGGAGTGCTTATTCTCAAGCATTTATTGATGAAAAGCACTTATTTGACGCTGGGACTACGTCAACAAACACTTCTTTTATGCTTTGGTAACTTAAGTGCTTTTTTGAAAAAATGCTTATGGCGATTCTAGCCCGTCTTTGGCCCATTTGAAATAAGCGCTTTTTTACCAATCACTCCCAAACGATGCGTAGGACTTCACTGTGTCTCCTTCATTTGCTCGGACAACAGCACAACACAAGCAGGGAGAAGATGAAAATCGCCGATGAGGTCTTCGCCATTGGGGAATTCCATTGGCAAGAATCATGCCAAAACCTCCTACTTTTTCCACAACCAAATTGCAGATTCGCCATTCGAGACTTCATTGGCAGGAACAGGTGGCACCAATTTTTGGGACAAGGGCTGGACGCCTTGTGGCTATGCTCTCCAGCATGCACTGGTAAAATAGTTTTTTTCTTGTTCTGTACAACTCATAAGCATATTGGGTGGAAATCCTGAGATTTGTATTCTGTTGCTCTTGAAGTGCAAGGGAGTAATGCAATAAGAATTTTTTTGGGCATACTGCAATAAGAAATTTTCCAATTTCATGGAAGTGATTTGTTAACAACTCATGGGTTCTGTAATTGTGAACATCTTGGCATATACATGGGACTATTGATATCTAGTTTAAGGTTCTGGCTATATTTGAGGTATTTTTCTCCTGCTACAGCATCATTGTATAAAAAAAGTTTTGATTTGTAAAGGTTGTTACCATGTTTTTCTCCATATAGGATAATTCTGTCATTATGACTCTTATTTTGGTGATACAAGGTAGTTAAATTAAGGTAAAGATTCAGATGTGTCCTCTTACTGCATTAATGTGTTAGAAGTTTTGAAAGTGACTTTTTAACAACTCATGGATTCTGTAACTCTGGACCTTGTGTAATATACATTGGATCATTTGATATCTAGTCTAATGTTCTGGTCATATTTGAATCTTTCTATTTGTCGTTGATGTATAAGAAATTTTGCTTTGTATAGGTTGATGTCATGTTTTTTCTCTCTAATAGTATAAGTATATCATTTGGATACCATGTCTCTGTTTTCAGATCTACTGCTGAATTGACACCTATTGCATCTCTTGTATTTTAGTTATTTCCCTTGATCTTTCTAAGTTGAGAAATTTCTAGTCTGTTTGGATAATCATATACCTAAATTCGTCTGCTTTATATCATCAAAGTAAGAGGTCCACCTTGACCTTTGTCAGACTTGATTATTCATTATGTCTGAAAATCTGTTGTTGTAAAATCTGGGATTTTGTTTTCCAGATTAGAATTAGCATAGTGCTGGTTTTTCTTTCTTCAGATTATTTCTCTAGCACATGCAAAACGGTTTACAAAGTTCAGGGAGAGGAAATTGAGAAAGATGTGGTACCTTTCAATACCTTAACCTCTTTCTTTTCCCCCTTTTTTAACTTTTGGTATGTTTTGTAAGAATCCCAAAAAACCCAGGCTTAAGTTTTAAATAATTCATTACGTTTTGTTTTCTTTTGTTTCAAGGTAAGAACGGATAGGTCTATGTCCTTCTATGATGGAGATGATAATACAAATGTGGCACTTTTACACGATATACTTCTACCATGCTCATTTTTCAACTTCAATATTGGTTATTGTCAGCCAACTACTTAGTCATAGTGGTATTTACTTGTCAGAATATCTTGTTGGCTTTTTAAGCTTACATGGTAGACCTTGTTCTGTTGGTGCTTCTAAATTCTCCTCTTTTGCTGTAAGTAATGTTGCACTTATCAACTATTTGACTATGCTTATTATAGCCAACCTTGATTGAAAATTATGTGGTGTACGTATGAGAATGAGAATGTCAACAGCTCAGGTATGCCATGAGTTTTGCTCAACGTGAACACAACCTGAAGTAGCCCCAAAACGAACCCAATCTGTTCTGACTAATTGAAGAGGGGGCATTGAACCCAACCCAGCCTATCGCTTATATGGTACACTTATACTCAACCAAGCCTATATGTACAAATATTTTGTATGATCCAATGCCAAACAGTTGGGCTTAGTGTTGGTCCACTGTCTACCACAAGGTCCACAACCTGAAACCTGGTTAAGGTTGATCTGACTCTCACCTGATAGGGTCAGGTCACTACTCAACCTACTGACATCCCCAGTCTTGCTGATTGATGCAGGAGATGAAGAGTCAAAATTGGAATTTTGTGAATTTTTATGTATTTCTGTACTTTTGGACACTGGGGATATCTTTGCCATTTTACAGTTTCTCTGTAGGGTCCAATAATAGGGTTTGATTGTCTATTTATAGTTTGTTTATGTTTAAAATTTCAGAGTCATTGCATAAGTAGGATTAGAGTTATTGAGTCTTCTTTTGAATTGAAATAGGATATGACAACTTAGTTTGAGTCCTACTAGGATTATTGAGTCTTAACAGTTTGAATCCTAGGACTATTATGAGTCTAACAGTTTGACTTCTACGATTATTATCAGTTTAGAGTCTATAAATATGTATGGACGTTTTACACAAAGAGCAATTAAGTTTGTTGAGTTTTCTTCAGCTTATGCTAATTATGGTGAGTGATTCCCATACTCTAGAGTGATTCTAGGCACCCTGTGAGTGATTCTGGGTATTTTCTCTCTTCTTTCTCTCCCTATTTTCTTTCTTGTTCCTTCAAGAAGCCATTACAGCCATCAACAATTATAAATTTCTGATTAAAGAAGATCATTCAATATTCTCTAAGGACTAGAATTGAGCTGGTCCTACATCACTTACTCATGGTGATATGTTCTGGACTTATACATTTCACCTCCCCGCCCCCCAAATGAACTGGGGATGATTTGTTGATTGGTCCAACTATAGGTTGAAAACATTGCTACATATTTCTGTTATAAGTATGTCTTGTTCTTGAATGTTAAAGGAAGTTCATGAAGGCTTATATTATTTCCTAGGATTCTGTATTCTGAACCTTCTTCTATTGTCCACTCTTGAAGATTGCATAGTTTGGAAAACTATGCTGATTTTATCAAATGCAATAAAAGTTTCAGTTATTCTATATATAACCTGACCATTCTCTTCTATTTACTTAGTTGAGGATAAACTATTCTGTTCTCTCACTGTTTTGTAGAGTATGAGTGACCTCTTGTCTCAGATATTATTATATAATGAAGGATGAATCAGAATCGTTTTAGTGATTTGTTGCACTGATGGAACATTTTGGTCCCAATTTTAATTGTGTCCAAGATGGCACGCATTCCTAACTTTTTGCATTGTTAAAGGTCTGTAATAATTGTGGGCGAATAATCTTTCTGTAAACAACTATTTTTATGCTTATATTTTATTTAGGTGACACTATGCTTCCTTATATGGTTTCTTGTTTACTTGGACATATGCTATAATTTCTTTATAGATATCATTTAAACTAGAGCTATCAATGGTGGTAGTTTTTCTGGCTAGGTCGAGCTCAATTTTGTAGTTTGAGAGCTAAGGTTGGCCTTAGGTCAATTTTGCTAAAAGAGTCTAAACTGAACCAGGGTGGGCTAAATCTGTTTGGATCAAGCTTATTGGGTGTTATTCTATAGTATTTTGTACAATTAATATATGTACCATAGAAGGTGCCAGCTGGTGCATTTGGTAAAGTTGGTAGGTGTAGTTTCTACTGACTTGGGATTGAAACCTGTCCTCACTCTATCCACCCCCACTTCCAGGTCGAAAAAAATAACATACTAAGTTTAAAGGTTATTTCTCTCATTTTCCTTTTCTATTTTCTTCTTTTAATGATGTGGGCCTTGGATGTTGAGTTTTATGGGCTTAGAGTTCTTAGGTCCTTTGGGTCTGAATGGGACCCAATGTTACAAGTTGACTTGAGTAAGGTTGACATGAGTGCAGTTGATGCTTATACTTTAGGTTCATCTTGAGCTTATGTGGATCCTGATTCCAACTCAAAAGTTTAGCATATGGAGCTAAACTGTAGCCTTAATATGTTAATGTCAATTGCATTTATGTTTTAACCTGAAATTCATCATTCAGTTTGTTGTCAGTTTCTGTAAGTAGAAACATTCGTGTTTTCCTTGGTATACTGTATTCCATTTTTTCATTAGAGATTATTGCTTCAAATTCTTTGTTCAAGGGAAATAAGAATTGCTTATTGATTAGAGTATTCTTAAGACGGAATCTTAGACAAATCACCTTGGATCTAGAATTTCAAGTATATAAATAAATAAAAAATATGGACCAGTATTTAGATGCACTTACTGCAAAGAAACTGGCTAGGGAAACAGGGCAAAAACAAGGATGCTGAGAAGCCAGTATTTAGGAGCTGGAGAAAAAGAGAGAAAAGGAGGGGTCATTGCTTGGTATAGTAAAATCTCAGGCTGATAGGATTGCAAGTCGAGTACCCAACTTGAAGAATTTACAAGGCTGGGCCCACTAAAATTTAGGGAAATGCTCAACCCAAGCCCACCCAAGTTGCAGCCCTACAGGCTGAAGCATGAGAACATGGGTTTGAGTCTGAGAATGGCCACTTTGTGCAAAAAATGCCAAAGGTTTGATCTGTATCGAATCCACCCCTTCCAAGACTCTGGATAGCTGGTAACAACATTTGGAAATGATCTTCTTTAGAAAAAGAGAGGAGGAAGAAACAATGGATGACCTATTTGATTATGATGATGATGATGTAGATGATGCCAAAAGTCATGGAAGCAGACAAGGGAAGAGATAATGATGATAATGTACATGATGAGCTGTAGTGTGAGAGGCAAGAGCTTGAAGAATCTGGAAACGGTTACAGAGATGAGTTTGGGTGGTTAGGCACTCAGAATTGCCTTCTTTTTATTTCATTCTTTGCTGTAGGAATCTTTCATAGGGAAAAAAGACCACACACAAAAGAAAGAAAAAGAAAAAAACAATTGATGAATTAATTGATACCTATTCACAGTATAGTATTGTATACAGGTCCCATTTATAAAAAAGAGAAAGAAAAAAAGAAATATAGAGAATTTGAGTTTGGGTACCCACTACAGCGGATTGACAATGATTTGGTTTCATTTACTTAATCTCTTGGTTCTTGTAGCCTAAGCTTTACTATATTTCATGGGACATTTTTGGTATAATTGGCTATACAGAAGTTTGTCTCTTGGGAAGAACATGTTATTGTTAGGCTCCATGTATCCTTTTATTCTTAATGAGGTTGTGTTCTATGATTGTTGCAGCTGGTGGAGTAGCTATATATCCCATTGTACATTTATTCGAAACAATGATTTCTTGAATTGCTTTTGTTTTCATTGGATTCTTACAATTGAAAAAGCAAGTAAGGTTATATACATCAATTTAGATTTTCTGGTGGGTTATTTTCATTGGCAGTTGGGTTATGAGCTGTTTCATATTCATTGGGACAAAGTCATTATTAGGCCTTTATTATTCTCAGATGTTTTTATATAGTAAGTTGTTATGTAAGTTTTTTACTTTCCTTTCAAGTGGACAACTTTCTAATATTGCTCTAGTATTTTTCTGTTGGTTTTACTATTGCTATAGTTTTATATGGTAAAGAGGGAAAAGAGCTCAATATCATTCTGACATTGCAATTAGAGGAAATCTGCAGAGTTTATCTGTTAAGAAAGGTTATAGAATTCAAGTCTGTTATTGTGGGCATTTTCCAAGAGCCTCTATCTAGTTTGAATATTTAGAATGAAGGCAGGTGGTTCTATATGAGGTCTTTTAAGGAATTTGGCTTATTGTCAGGGAGAGTGTATCCTGCTCTTGCAAGCATCCTATTCTTGCAGGTTGGAGTTGGATGTGTAAAAGTTCATTGTTACATTTATACCACCCAGTTTTCTACTTAAGCTTGGTCTTCACAAGATGATTTTCTTTGTATGGAAAAGGGGATAATTTTACAAGTTCGCTAATTGGTTTGTTAAACTCATTGTCACTTTGTGTGATTTTAAAGTATTTTATAGTTTTGCTAGTTATTGTGTTTCTTAAATTTTAATCTACTTGATATCCATTTTGTTTTCACTATGTTTTTTCTGTATTTGTGTGATAGGTCAATAACATAACCCTACAACCTTTACCCCTTTAATCCTGGCATTCTCTGATCCTAAAGAAATACTGCATAAAGATCATGCGTGATTGAATGGTCTCTGAGACTCTTGAAGTTCATCAAGGTGCTAAATGGCCAGATCGTTCGTGATTCAACTCTCAAGGATGCAGAATTCCTGTGCATGTGTTCAGACGAGAAAGGTTCAGTTGGCATTCTTCTACCTGGGAATCCGCCACCATCATTGCCCATACTGGTTCACTGTATCATCAACAAGATGAATGAAGAGAATCCTATCCTCTGGAGGTTCACAGTTTGTTATATAGAAATTACCAAAAGAACAAATGTACAAAACACAGGATAATTGATAATTTCTAAAGGAATCTTTTTGATGGTTCAGCATTTATTCTGTAATTCCTCTATCTACTGCCGACTATCTGATTCTTGGAGCCTTTGTTAGATGACTTATGATAAGGATTCAGAAATCCTCTCATGGGTTCAGAAATCTTTCCCTGTAGCCATCATATCCGCCCTAGGCCATGATATGTTGTGCATAGTCTTCAGGTCCTCCTCGAGAGAAAAGTGCAGTAGTAGATGCTGCCCATATGATAATAGCTCTTGAACTTGGACAGGCGTAAAACATGCTTAGAATCGATCTTTCTTCCTACTTCCTGTAATAAACTTTTTCATTAACGCTTGAGCTTCATTGTTTTCAAATATAACAAAAGTTAGTGATGGGTTTGAGAAGAACAGGGTGGGAATCATGGGACATTGGCCGGTCGTCACTCGTCATACGTACATGATCAGGTTATGTGCGGACAACAGGGTCGTATCATTAAGTGTGTGGTCGCCATAAATTAGTGCCCTGGCATGTCTGCTTCATGGTTGCACGTACACAGTATCTGTCGTCTAAAGTTTGAATGTATACTTTGACAGAATCGAGAGTCATTGATCTTGTTTACACAGATGATGGATCCTAGTTGCTTCCATTATAGAAACAAAAACAACACTTCCATTGAAAGTGAAGCCATGAAGGTACATTTAACATAATAACTATGTTCATAGATGATTACAATTAGCCTGAAAAGAGTGGAGTGGACGATAACAGTTGCAATAGAGGTAGATTATTACGAGAGCTACATCACTAAACAAGCTGACTATGGTAGGACTGGGTACATTTCCTCCGGAAAGTAGAAATGAAATTCGGTCCAAGATGACTCAGAGCTACATCCAAATGAATCGAACAAAACAACAGAGTCCAGTGGCGGAAGGAAAGCGTCCTCGAAGAATGTACCTTGGTACGCTGAGAGATGATGAGATTCTACGTCGTGATTGCCACTCTTGGTGTCATTGGGGACAGTTGTTGAATTTTTACCACCTTCGTCGTCAGATTTCTTTGTAGTACTGTGAGTAGTTCCGCTGCAAATGGGTCGATCATTGGTTGAATGAGAGAGCTTTCTCCTCTTTGAGTTGGATTGATCCACTCTTTTGCATTGCGGATACCTCTTGATGAGATGGGTGTTCCAGTAATTCTTTATTTCATTGTCAGTTCGACCAGGGAGCCTACCTGCAATCAGTGACCACCTTCACCCCCCAAAAAGACAGATTATTGTTCAAGTCATGAGAGCTAGACTGCTTCATGAATGAATTATATTCCTGTTTGGAAATTCCAGCCCAACTGGCTGGAACTTCACTCCCCCAAGAGAAACGACATAAGAAAGAAGCACTGACCGATTGCCCAGAAGCTTATGCATTCGGATGATAAGGTCCTCTTCCTCCTCTGACATCCCTCCGCGTTTGAGGTTCGGTCTGAGGTAGTTTTTCCATCTCAGTCTGCAGCTCTTCCCTTCCCTCATCAAGCCTGCGCAAGAGAAAGTAGAAGCAGAAAGAAGATAGCTAATTTGTATTGAGTTCACTTGCAAACAGACCTACACATACATATTAATTAATCAACTGTAAAACAGAAAGAGAATGACCTGATCTCTTGGAAACAATCGCCCACTTCCCCTCTCCATGGGTCTCTATGTATCTCGTAAGGAGCAAATCTTCTTCTGGATTCCATGGACCTTTCTTAAGCACTTGCTTAGTTCCTTCTCGTTCCATCTCTCTCTCTCTCTCTCTATTTGTGTGTGTGTAAAGGAGTGAATATACCTTTGTATGGCAACATACAGATGAAGTGGATGAGTTAAGTAGAAGAGATGAAGGTAGTTTTTCCTGAGACGAGTCTTCGTCACTCGTGCATGGAATGGCCTATTAGAGAAAGAGATGTTAAATGATTGGAATGAGGGTCCTACATTGCTTTCGCTTTAGCTTTTCTCTCTCCCTTAGAAAGCAAATCCACTGTTGGATCCAAATGTGGGGTAGGAAAGCTTTTACAGTAGTACTTCATGGTGACTGACTATGGTCTATGGTAGTATGATTTTGAGACGGACGATTTAAACAAGTAAATTGAAGGAGCACTTCTATGGTTCACAGTTAAAGATAGTATTCCTACAGGAGTTTATGATTGAAGCTGCTACACGACTGTATGCATTGCAGAGTACTGAGTTCATCAGATGCTGCTTTCTCACCAGATTCTCAGTTTTGTGTGGTCTCTGGGTCTGGGGTTGCAATCTGGCTCTAGATACGTCACATAGACCAAGGTTGTGGCCGAAATTTCTGGGTAATGTCTCCTGTATCATCATCTAACTCCTCTTTCCTTATTTTTCCACAATAATGGTGTCCTTAGTGGAATTGTGGGTACAAAGGGACAAGTGACAAAGAGTAGTGCTTTCATGCATAGCCAAGCCTAAGCCTAAGCAACCCCTAATCTATCCTTATCCTCTCAAGTAATTCTTATTCCTGGGTTGGTATAAACCATCACTTGAACTAGGCTTTCGGATTCAAAGGAGAGGTTTCCTCTTGCTATTTCTTCATTTCTTCTTCCTCTATTCCTTGTATTCGGAGACGATGATTTCATATCTTCTTTCAATATAAAGTTATTCAGATAAATACTCTCCAAGCCCAACATCTCTCTTAGAAATGTAGATTGGCCACGTGTCCTTTGTTCAATTACTTAAGGTCTTAAGCTCTAATTTCAGCCACCATCTTGGAATATATAGCTGCTTCAGTTTCAAAGTTTTAATTTACACGCTTCTCTTTTTCGTCATGTAGTTGGGGGCTCTGTACAGAAACTTGCCACATGCATAGAGAATTGTAGGGCAAACACATAGCTATCTCTTAGACTAACAGGAAAGCTGAGAACCTCCCATCTCCTAGCAAAACTGGTTTAAGTCCAAAATGCTCTGTTTGATATGGCATACATGTGGGCCTCTCTTGGGTTTGCCACAAAAAGCTGATCACTTCCACTCCCTGACAAACGTACTTAATGCCCAAACGTTATCTTTTCTCTTCGCTCCTGTTGTAATGTGAAATGTCAATAAGTAATCTTCATAGCTCATCCAAATATAGAAAATATGTCCAGGATATTATATAAAAATATTGTAAAAATTATTGACATTGTGAAAACATAGAATAATATTTTATGAAATGATAAAAGACACATAGCTCAACCCTTTAATATCATTATTTTGTTCCAGACCATCAAAGAAACTAAATTTAATAGACAAAATAATGCATTGTGAGGTTGTCTCATTAACTTTAAGAGCCCAAGCTAGATAATAGAGTGAGTTAAAGTAAAATTTAAATTCATAGAAAGTACAAATGATTCTAATTTATTGAATTAATTAATCTCTATCACTCAAATTGTTGGATTCACGTATGAGTAATGTATGGAATGAATATCCCACATTGGAAAGAAATAATGAGAGGTATAAGGGATTTATATAGACGGGTTGACCCACAATCTAATGGCTTAAGTTTTATGCATGTGATGACTCTTCTCAATGTACAACACAAATAATGCGCCAAATCAACCTAGTCTCCTGAAGTAGTCTTAATGTATTCCAGAATTAAGTTGATGCATCATTTGGATGTTCTAATGATAGATTTTATGTTTTTTTTTTTTTTTTTTTTGTTTGGATATATCATTTATAGTAACTTATTTCTTTTAGAAAAGTTCATGCATAAATTGAATAGTTGAGTCAATAGAAATCTTAGTATATCTTAGATGATTATGATTAATTTATTACTTTCAAGAGATCGTTTTGATATCATATGGTATTGGGTTGATTTATTTGGATAAGCCGACCCCAAATTGATCCAAATCCTACATCACTTGCATAGATCATTCGGTGATTTGGTACATTAGTTATGTGACCTGAATTTGGTACATCAATTTAAGGAAAAGATTATTTGACCAATATTAAGACAACACAAGGACCATATATTTAGTTCCATTTCCATGGCTTACATATAGTTGAAATATTTGCACATCATTTGGATCTGTAAGATCTGCTGGCTTTGAGGCTCCACTTAAATGGTTTATATCTTTGCTTAGAAAATCATGATTGAAAACATTTTTTAATAAAGAAATAAAATCATCATACAAATGAAGAGAAATGGCATTTTTATGGTTTTTAAAATATCTGACAAGCATGGTTCATAGTATCAACATGCATGCGATTCAAAGGGGTGATACTCATGGTTACAAATTGTTTCAGGTTTCAAGATTTGATTCAGGCCATCTCGTGAACATATTGTAGATAAATATGTTGTGATATTTTTGAACCATATGCTTAGTTGGGAAGGAGTACAAATATAAGTACGTAGAGTGCAAAATCTTGTATTTTGTATTATTTTGCATGCATTTATATTGTATATATTTGTATTTGTATTCTTCAGTTTGAAAGGAGTACAATACAAATATGTACAATTTAAATGTATAAAAATAATACAAAATACATGGGTTTACGCTCTATATATTTGTATTTGTACTCCTTCAAAACTGAGGTTACCCACAATGCATGCATATAGACATATTTTGTCCATTTTTTTTATGGAATGTCAATGGAGTGAATTATGTGATAAAGGGTGAAAGACCAAGAAAGAATCAAACACAAATTAAAATAGTTTGGGGAGTTAAGTGATAGACCCCTAGAGCCTTGTTCTTCTTATTGTTTCCTTTAAAGTTCTCCAACATTTGGATGCCCCTCTTTCATGTATTTATTATAAAAAGCAAATATTTTAGGAAAAAATCCCAATCAGTATCCTGTACTTTGGCTCGAATGACAAATTGGTCTCCGAACTTTAAAATGCGACAATCCAGTACCCAGACTTTTAAATGTGACATTTCAATACTCGAACTTTCAAAATGTGACATTCCAGTACTTCAACTTTCAAAATGTGACAATTTAGTACCTGTCGTTAACCGGTCTATTAATCAGCCGTTAAGTGGCATTTGAAAAGTAAAAAATTTCCTTCAAATGCCATCTAATTCTCTTTATCAACCATCCTAGCCTCTTTTATTCAAAAAAAGTTGATGATTGTTTAGAAGAATCTACAATTTGTGACTGTTCATTTTATTGTCAATGTTTGGATGGTTGATAAAGAGAATTAAATGGCATTCTTAAGACATTTTTGACTTTTCAAATGCCACTTAATGGTTGATTAACAGACTAATTAACGACAGGTACTGGATTGTCACATTTTGAAAGTTTGGATACTAAATTGTCGCATTTTAAAGTTTGGGGACCAAATTGTCACTCGAGCCAAAGTATAGGGTACTGATAAGGAATTTTCTCAATATTTTGTAGCGTTGCGATTTGAGAAGAAGATTTTATTTTTTCGTGGAATCAATCAAGACTAACCAAGACCTGCATTTTGTCCTCCAAGGATTAAAGTCTTGATTATTTATTTATTTATTTTTGGGTAGTCTGTTTGGTTGCTTAAAAGCTTGATTAGGTGGAGAAGAATGATTATAACCCAAAGCACACATGCATTATAATTGGAAAAAATTCTTGCTTTAGTTTTCCTACCTACCTTGTTTGAACTTTGAAACTCTAACAATGACCAAAGCTGCAAAAGAAAAGCAGAGTGAGAAAAAAGCTTTGTTTGGGATGTGATGTTACATACTTATAAACTCAAAGTATTTTAAGTGTGTATTTGGAAAAGCTATGGCTTTTAAGCTGGCATGGGCTTAGGCTTTGGGTTATGATTCCTTAACTTTCCCAACACTCATTTCAAAATAATATTCCACTTTCTACAGCCTCTGCGAATCTTCCCTCTCTTCCTCGTTCTTGCATCTATCAAAACCCCCATGTACCATGCAAGGGTAGGGAGGATGGATGATAAGTGAGCTTTATTCTTGGATACTACTGTAATTCTGGTCTAGCGCCAAAGACAAAAGCCTGTACTTGTGGTAATTGCTGATATCTGTATAGTGGTCAAAAGCCTTTTGAAAAATCCCAATTTCTAATGCTCAAAAGCCTTTCGAAAAAAAACCCAAGTGGATTGTCATGATTTTAAGAGAGGATATTGGACTATTTTTGTTTACAATTAAGATGGTGTTTGGTTTCTTTGACTATTTTGGTTAAGTTGTTTATCAAGAAAATGTTTTTCTTGGGCTATGTGAGAGTTATCCATTGGTAAAGCATTTTTTACTGTTTGGCTTATGTGAACCCCAATGGTAAGGTGTTTTTTACTATTTGACTTATGTAAAACCTAATGGTGTTTAGTTGTCATAAGTAAAAATAAACACACTCTGAATCAATCTAAAAGTTTAAGCAGTTAGATGATCAGGTCCTTGAATAGATTTTGTTCTTTAACACACCTCACAATAAGAAACTCATTAGGCTTGAAATATAGACAAGCACAGATTCACCCATATCTTCCACTGAAATTTAATTATTACGATGGCGGCAATGAAAATCCAATACTAGACCATTTGGTCAAACAGGCTCGGATATCATCTCAAAAATCCGAAACTATTCAACTTAAAAGCTTAAAGGTATTGAGTTCCCTTAATAGGTTTTTATTGTAAGGGAACTTGCTCAAACAAGTTATCTCAGGTTTCTTATCACTAATTGTTGCAATTTTTTTGCAGCTCCATCCAGCCATGTGACCAAGACTCGAGATACTAGCTGCTTTGCTATGGGGTAAGCATAAACAGTTGGAGAATCTAATGGATTGAATGCAGGAATTTAATGCTTCTAAGGCCAATGGAAGATACTCGTTAGACTCATCTGAATGAATTCTCAGTCTCATAAAATCAAAGGGTTTATGATAGAATTTTAATTATTTTCATAGGGATCAGTTTTCCATCTCTGTGGCCCCATTAGT